CATAGAGTAGTGTCCACTTGAATACTGGGAGGACAAAGAAACATCTGCATTTCTGAAAAGGTGAGGTAAAGAGGAAAGTATATGAAAAAAAAAAAAACATCCTGCTTAAGTCAGTCATAAAAAAGATCTGGGGGTGATAATATGAGTCTGAACTGAAGCCTTGTCGGACTTTCTCTGAAATAAATGGTTTTTGAAAGCTTCTTCAGGAGATGCTCTCCTTGAAAAATGTAACTTGAAAGATAGGGCACTTAGGAAGATGATCCTGACCACAAAGGTTTGCAGCAGAGGAAGAGTGCCTTTTGGGTATGACCTTAGAATATAATATAATAAACCTTCTTTTCTTTCATCTCCTATCATCTCTCTCATCACTTACAGCTGTCCTAATGATTTTTGATATTAAAACATGGTGCAAAACCATCTCTTTTTTTTTTTTTTTCCTAACTTGAGCCATTCCTGACATAAAGTTTGATAATCTTAAAACCGGAGTAATGAGCCATCCTGAAAAATGGTCACCGACACTTTATTTCAGAGTTTCAAAGGATAAAAGAGTGATCAGACCTGACAGGGTAGTCTGGAGGTGCCTTTGAAAAAGTCTGTCCTTTTTTTTTTTTTTCAAATATTGGAAATGAAAGTTGGGATCTGTGTACTTCATCAATGATCTTGCCTTCTCATTTCTAATTCAGAAGAAAAATAAGCTTTGATGAGGATGACCAACGTTTTTGGTGGTTGTTTTTGTTGTTGTTCTGTTTTTTATGTTTCCAGATAGGATTAAAGATAGTTTAATTTACTTCTGAAGTTAAAATAAAAGTTTCACAGCATTGCTTAGAGGCACCGCAATCAATATCCTTCATTCCTTCAGCACTAGAGATCATCTGAATACCCTCTGAGAGCAGTGGTTCTCATTCTAGAACCATCTTCTGGCCTTGTAAGCACTGTAGGAAAAAATAAACTTTTTGTAAGCCTATGACAGAAAAAAATATTTTGGTATTGATCCTACAGACAAAGTCCAGTGATGATAATAAGAGATGTGCCATATTCACTGTCTGTAGTCAACTTGTTAGCTTTTTCTTTATTTGTATAGTTTTTTCTTTATAATTATAAAATTCAGGTCAACTTCAACCAACAGTGAGGGACACTGGTGATTTCTTTCTTAATGTTTTCACATTTCAGTTATCTTATTATCATATACATATATTCATGTATTTCAGTTATCTTATTATCTTACATTTTTTTCCATTCATTCTGTTTAACTGATATAATTTAGAATAACCCTAAGAAGCGCTAGGTAACAAATCTATCAAGAGCAATGCACAATATATTTTCATCAAGCTACTGCACACTTAACATTACAATTTTCTCTTACAATTTGTAGTTTTGCATACACTGCTTAGGGAAGCTCCACCCAGCAACTGTGGCTGGCACACTGCACAATTTATTTCTAGAACAGCATGACGAATGGCTTTGCTATGCTATCTTCCATGGGCTAAGTTAGCGATTATTCAGTAATAAAAGTGCAGAAGCTTGACTTCTGGAGGGCTTGATAATGTTACCTGCAATGTGGTTTACTCTGACATCTGTTTTATCATTTAAGAGTTATTTTGTTTTCTTTCTGCTTTAGAATATCTCAGAAGTCTTTGTAATAATGAATTACAAAGCAATTGCTCAGGTCTCTAGCTGAATTCAGCCCAGTGTAAAGGTTGTGCAATTTAGACCAGCAAAACAACTCTTAAACCAACCTGATCATGCCCTTTCCCTAAGATATACCAGCCTTTTGGCTGCTCTGTCTTGTGCTTGACAGCAACTCCTGCTCCAGGAAGCCTTAACAGAGTTTCCTGGCCTTCCTTAACTGTACCTCTTTGACCTAAAACTCAACTACTTTTCCATTTTTTCAGTTGTTCTTTTCTTTTAGCAGCACATCATAACCTAGGTCTGAAATGGCCTGAAATGTCAGTGTGATCAAGTTCTTTTTCTCCACCCACTACTATATGTATTATTTAACAAACATGCTCTCTTCACTGCATTATCATTAGTGGCAAGACTTTTTTTTTTTTGAACAGTGTTGTTTATGAAAGCTATAATAAGAGTTGAATTTTCATTGTGGAACCTATATAAAATGCTGTTTATGCAATATGTCATTGTTTTCTTGCTGTTTTGATTATGATATTCTCTTTCGTGGATACAGACACATCCATGATTCTTTTCTTTACTGGCTTTTTATTATATTTTTCTCTGATTCTATTCTTTGTTTTACAGAAATTCTTGAAGTCAAGTTCCATGACACATTTACAGAATTAACATTTCTTACAGTTATTGTCAAACTTGAATTATTTTGATATGTAGTTGACTGAGAACAAAAGTTTTAGTAATGGTTAAAGAGTACTGAATTGCTTTAGCAAAGTAATTAAGGTTTCTTGCCATCAATAAAATCTGCTTTAGTATTACTGAATATTAAATGCGTAAAGAACTCACAAAATATCCAATCAAGTACATGATTTGTGTTCATAAAATAGAAATAAGGCAATGCTATTTCAATGATATATATAATATATATCATTATACATATAACTGAATGTGTATATATATATAAATAAAATGAGTTTATCATCAGGGTAACTAAAAGAAAAAAATGCATGTAGGATGTTTTCCTTTAATATTTTCAACAACTGAGAAAAAATGACTGTAGGATCTTTCTCCCTATTCCCAACCTCCTGTTTCATTTTGCAACACAATCGTAATGACCAAAATAAAATTGAGAAAGAACTTAACACTGTCATCTCTGGTCCTTTACAGCCTAATTATTACAGTTCACTGAAGCACAACAAAATGACAGTTCTGCTACTCTCTATTCATAGATTTAATAATAAAAATATGGCAGTGTTAAGACTGTAGCTTTCCACTCAGAAATGCAAAGGAAACTTTACTGCAAGAGTGCTGTAGTCTTTTATTACCGCAGCAGAAGGAAAGAGGCAATTCTGTAAAAAAGAAAAAAAAAAAAAAAACAGATGCTTCCTCATTGCTTCTAAATGCAGCTCAAAGCCTCAGCCAACATATTAGCTGGGAAGAATGTGTGCAATGGAGGATCTACAGTGCCAGGTACAACGCTAATTGCATTTCACCTTCATTATTACTGACCTAATAAGAGTGATTTTATATAGTTCGTACCATCCTGTTAAATCTGTCTCCCTCAGGCTCAGCAATACAAATGATTTTGCCTAACAGGGAAGGCAGAATGAGTATCTGGTATTCTCAACATGTCATCAAGTCTTCTTTCAGGTAGATGTTGATAGCACAGCAGCAGAATTACCAGCATTCACAGATGTTCAGCTTATATTAGAACTACATGAATGGAAGGTTTTATATAGAAGAAAGGAGGAAGTTTAGTGTACACAAAAGGATTATCGATAAGAGGAAAGACAAAATATGTTTTATGAAAGCATCAAAACATCTGAATATGTCAAATAGAGCAAAGATGTTCAGAAGATCCCTACCATATTGTGATGGGGCATTCTGATTTGCAAAATACTGAGCTGAAAAGCAGTAAGAATCTTCAATATATTTTTGAACATCCAGAAGTAGATTGGCTAAGATGTGATCCACAGGGGTAGTATGTGTGAGTGAGCCACTGCAATCATACATAGAACCACAGGTGGAAATGTAAAGAGCCATCTGTCTACATCATAACCTGAGGCTGAGATGTAAGCAGATGTAAGATAAAAAGCCAATTACTCAAAGCACATCTTCTATACTGACAAATTCAAAAAAAAAATTACATTACAGACTGACTTTGTAGAAAGCTAATGATAATCTTTGAACATATGCTTATCACATTCCAGACGATTTTTTCTTGGTAAACCTCTTCATTAGCAATCACAGTTTATGTGTATTGTTCCTCGCAATGTGATAAGTCCAAAACTATATTCGAATTTTTGAAATCTGTAAATGTGTCACAGAATATCATCTAAATATTAAAGAACATATTCAAATTTTCTGAAATCTTCAAATGTGTCACAGTATATGATCTAAATATTATTGTTGAAGATACATAAAAGAACACAGAATAAATTCAGTCAGTTATTTTCTTTTTCAAATGAAAGAGAAAACTATCCCTGCAAGTTATGTAAAAAGAATGAACTAATCAAATTTGTAATCAAGTAAAACAAAACAACTATGAGGCTTTCTAGAATTCAGATTTCTTATGTATTATTGTACAAGTTGTCACATATAGAGGGAAAAAAAAAGTTCAGCCATTTGCCATGCTTTTTAGCAATTCTATTTTGACCATCTTATTTTGTTAATCAATATTTCTATTCTAATACAATAGCCTATAAACTGCCAGAATACAGTAAGTTCGAAGTAGAAGCCAACATCTGACAAGAGTGTGAGGTGCTTAATCCTACGATTTATTTTTAAGAATAACTTCAAGCACTTCTGAAAATCCATTCCTGTAGTAATAAAAACATATTTACTCCTCTAGGAATATATGTCTTCAGTGCTAACATTTTTCCTAACCTTCAGTTTTGTAGAAGTTGCTTAATTAAAATTCCTTACTGTTTATTTTGAAGCTTGTTTTTAAGGAGTTATTTCTAGATTTGAGTTCTAAGATTCTGACTTCTATAGTTTAGTATCTAGCTTCTATTGCCTATGATGCAATAAGGTATAAACAAGTATAATCAATACCTTAAGGCCTCACATACTCAATTACACACATTTTTCCGCTCTTTCTTAACATGATTATTTTGTCTTTCTACAAAAATCTATCTGACATATTGTGCATGTAGTTGGGGCACATGTACCAATATGCGTACCTATTTCCAGTGGAAGGGAGAACAAATACCAAGAAGTTAAAATGTAATATTTTCTGAACTTACCACAAGTTAATTTTCATTATTTAACTTCATTCTTGTTTACAGTAAAAAGTAATAAAACAATCAGTGGGTGTTTGTGTGTTTTTCCTTCCTCTCCTGAAGGCATTCTGTTATGTTGTGTTTAAAAAGACTCACCTGAATTACAAGCGTTGCTCTGTGCTTCCTGCCATACATTCTCGGTTTGAATCCCACCATTATACTGGTTCCAACAGTGCCAATGGGGAGAAGTTCTCCAGCTTGTGGCACTACAGCAAATGCAGGATCGCTGCCCGCCAGGAAATACGCAGTGAATGGCTCTGGGTACCTACAAAAAAAAAAAAAAAAAAAAAAAAAAAAAAAAAAANCACAGGAGGGTATTATGCCTTTTACAGTAGCTTAATACTAATCTATCTACAGCCAAACATTTATGCCACCACAGCCTGTAGATCAGGAAACCTGGCAGCCTAGAGAATGCTTACAAAACAATAATAGCATTGCTATCTATTAGCAATTATTTATATTCATTCATATCTATTTATAATCTTTACATACAAACCCCTGGACACAGGTCTTCCAACATAAATATGAATATGAATCAACATGAATATTATAATCATTACAGAATAATGATAGCATTTTCCACTAAAAAAAAAAAGTAGAAAAGTAGAATTACTTTGCTTGATTTGTAAGGACAGCTGAGATTATGTTTTGCTAGTGAAAATTAGTCATTTTCATAATACTGATAGAAATAAACTCCATGTCAGACTGAAAATCCTCATTTCCTCTTTAGAAACTTTCACTTTCCTAATCTCAAGTCAAGTGAAAATTGGTGGGCAAGCCACCCATTTTATTAAGTTTTACACAATAGATTTTGCAATCCAAGGGAGTATAACTGGAATGGTAACTAGAACAGTTACTAGAATGGTTCTTAAAGCTTTGAAAAGAACATATGAGAAATACTGGTTTTCTATCTCTATTTTCCAAAGGTTTCTGTTCTATAAACAAACACTAAAATATGACAATAGAAAATATTACCTGCCTCTACAGAAACTGTATGTCTTGGGCTTCAAAATAACTTTGGTTACAGATACTGCAGAACTTGGTTTAATAGCCAGTTTCATGGCAGTAACTGTGCACCTAAAGGAAGTGCACAGTAAAAACTGGCTGAGGACTAGACAAGAGAAAAATAAAATATTCTTGGCCAATCCCAAAATGAAGCCTGAGTTGCTTATGACTGCTTGTCATAAAAATATTCTCAGCCTGAAAGTATGCATTATATACTTTGCAGTCAAGCATTCTTTCAGTCCTTTCACATGTTGCAAAGGATATCTCCATTACCACCTCGACTCATATTTAACTCTTTCTCTTCTCATATCTAGTTTATATCCAAGTCCTGCACTTCCTGTTCTGTAATTCTCCAGCATCCAACCCCTCTGAGCACCCTTTGCCTTTCAGTCTTCTATTTCCTTCTCACTTGTCTGCAAACTGACTACTTTTTCTGTATGCTGCGTTTATTTTTAATACATTAACTAACTTGTAAGTATACAGAAAGAGAACAAAAGAAATTGAAGCATGACATTGTTGTCAAAGTAACACTATGCCATAGCACAGTAGAGCAAGTATCATGCTTAGAGCTACATATTTAGCTAATAAAACTTGAAGAATGAAAAATTAACAGCAACTCAGAAGAAAAATGCTCAGGTCTGTGTATTCATGGGTTGTCACAGCAGCACTAATACTGCTTTTGAAAGAAAATATAACGGAGTGTAATTTAATATTTTATGACTATTCATATCTCTATGGAGATGTCCCACATTTCCTGGGCAAGCGCTCCACGGTGGTTGGTATGTTGAGTCTATGTTATGTTATTTAAAAATAGCTCTCCTTTTGCATACGTTCTCAAGAAAAGTTTTCTTAACTTCAAAATACTTTCATGAAAAAATCATGAAAATGATTACAAGTGTGTAGAAACAAACAGGCCTAGTACAAAAAAAAAAAAAAAAAAAAAAAAAAAAAAAAGCCAAGAAGCTTTTTCTTTCTCAAAAGAATTACAGAAAAATATTGTATTTAGTAGTGCCATCAGACTTATCTGCATCAGTGGATTTAGATCAACTTTTCCTTGAGGTGTCATCAAGGTGGTCAAAATTACTGAACGTCTGAAGCTGCATTTCAAGCTCTGTGATATCAAGGCAGCTGAGTTTACACTGCTATAGACAGTCCTGTCTATATAGATATGTCTTGAGTTCCCTCTTCTTGCCATCTAAGCCCTGAGTTTTCATATATTCTTTTCCAGCAAGGCCTGCTCAACGGTGAGCTCAACTGCTCACTTATAGCATACATACTACCTACCTGCCTACACATGACAGACAAGGGGTGCAAAACACTAGACTTATATCAAGTGTCAGAGTATTATTCTCCTGAAAAACATCTGAGATGACTATGTGATCCTTGGTTCTGATCCGGACCAAGAACATGAACACAGGTCTATGTTTCTAATGTAGCTGCTCTATTGAATTTAAGAAATGTAAGATAGTTCGTTCTTTTCTCCTGCGTTAAGTCTATTTTCTGTTAAGTATGAAAAGCATCTAGTTAATCAGGAATGACACATACTAATACATGATTTGTGTCATTAAGAGACAGTTCTTCAGCTTGTGGCCGTTTCCTCTAGTCCTATCACTGGCCACCACTGAAAAGAGGCCGGCCCCCTCCTCCTCACTGCCTCCCTTGAGGTATTTATACACGCTGATCAGGTCCCCCCTCAGCCTCCTCTTCTCCAGGCTGAACAGGCCCAGCTCCCTCAGCCTTTGCTCATAGGGCAGATGTTCCAGGCCCCTGATCATCCTGGTAGCCCTGCGCTGGACTCTCTCCAGCAGCTCCACATCCCTCTTGTACTGGGGAGCCCAGAACTGGACACAGAGCTCCAGATGTGGCCTCACCAGGGCTGTGCACAGGGGGATGATCACCTTCCTCAACCTGCTGGAGATGCTCTTCTTAATGCACTCTGAAGCGCAAATTTGGCAAGTCAGAGAAAAATCCTATTTCATTAACTGGTTTCAGAGAGAAATTAGATGATAAAAACTATTTAAATGCTTTAAAAAAAAGTCTCTAGACAACACTGAGAAAAGATACTATAAGTTTATTGTATTTATTTCTGTGACAAGTTGCTGTGATGAGTTGACATATATGTGTGTGTGTGTGTGTGTGTCTGTGTGTGTGTTTACTCATTATGGAAATTAAGGGGTGTGCATATATATATGTATATAAATACATAAATATTTACATATATATAATATATATACACACCCATTTAAAATTTTTCCCTTCATTTCCTTTTCCTCTCTTCCTTTCCCCTCCTTTTCAGCAGTTCTAAGCAGAAGAGCAAAGTCAGTTATTTGACATAAAATGTTCCTTCAAGGAGGAGCTATGTCCAAATAAGGAAAAGGGAAATTCTTCTAAATTTAAAGTATTCCCATAATATGACAGGCCAAAACAGATGCTGAGCTAGATATGGCTATTGGCTCAAAAAACTAGAAAATAAAAACCTTTTCACATACAGTTAAAAACAGAAACCTTTCACAGTGGTACAGTTCTGATAAACCCTGGGCTTTTCTGTTAAAATTATATCCAAAGATCACACAAGAAAAATCATATGGTGTTTTCACAGAGGTTCATGTCAGTAGAACTAGCTGGAATCCTGGGTAACTTGCCAGCATGTTTTCTCATTGTCATTATCTATATAGCACTGAGAAAATAAAGAGATCCCCAAAGTGCCCAAAATACTACCCAATTTTCCAGCATTTCAGTGGCTGTATATTTAGTGTAATTAAAAATTAATAATTACATTGCTTAAAATGATTAAAATTTAATTCCTCTTTCTTCTTTGTTTACTGTTCCAGGTAAAACAGCTCTGGAGTCATGTTGGCTTCTCATTTCTGAGCCAGGAAGGACAGGGATGAGGCAGCCTGTATTTTCCAAGGAAGGCTCTTGTTTAAGACAAGGGTGGCAGACGCAGAAATGCTTAATAAAGTTGAGTGATAGGCAGACTAAGGTTTGAAAATATGTACAAATGAAGCACAAATTAATTAGTAAGTATACTATGTTATACAGGCCATCTGAAGGAGAGAAGCACATATGTGCTCCACTATGTGGACTCCCATATGTGAGTTCTACAGCTACTGTGATAACCGTTTCAGATTTCTATAACTGTTTCATATTTCTATCATACAATAGATTGTATCATCTCCCTCCTATTTAAAGAATGAACAATAGTACATATTAATCAGAAAATCACAGAATGGTTGAGGTTGAAAGGGACCTCTAGAGAGGTCGTCAGATTCTAGAAGATCTAGTTGATCTAGTAGATCTACTAGTAGATCTAGTAGATAATGCTAGTCAGTATTCTCAGATAATTTCAGATAAGCGCACTGAAAATAAAGAACACCTTATGTCTTCAACTTAAAAAAAACTTTAAAACTTATAATCACATAGAGATGTCACTACAAAGCTTATAAAATATGCTATGCCCAGAATCTGTTTTATAAAGCTCAAAATATGATGTCTTTATCATATTAAGGTTTAAAATAGCTTTATTTGCTTCTGTTTTTCTCAGTCTAGTGAGCTATCCCCATAGAAATTTAGAAATATACTCCTTTTCAGAACTCAGTATTTTACAGACTATATTTAAAAAGCAACATGGGGTGCTTCTGACCAAATGTACTTTTTTACAATAGAAAAAAAGAACAACATAGCCTGTTCACCTGTGAAGTATGTAATTGCTAAGGAAATAATGGATGTGATTTGAAAATGCTGCAATATGTTTCTAAAAATAATCGTAACTGAATTACTTGTTGTAACTTGTAGTTAGCACACTCTGGGAACACATGAGAGTTTAGTTATTACACAGTCAAGTTTTACACACTGATTAGCAGTATACAATTGTGATATTCTCTGAAGTTACTAGTCATAGTTGGCATGATTTACACAACTACTATTCAATTATAAAAAAAGAAGTCAGTAAGGACAGAAAGACATTATCTTCATCATTTCTCCTAACTGATTATGCTACATACCAAAAGCAACTAACTGTAAATCCTGAACTGTGGAGGGCAGAAGAGATGTCCATGCCACTTATCACTGTAAGGCTTTGGAAAGACTGCTTCAGAATTTGAAGACTTTGAAAAATACAAAGAAACACTGCATGACAAAATGACTTGCAGGACATGTTTTTTTCAAATATAACATCACTTTGGATCCCTACATGTTTTAAGATCAAAAGCAGGCGCTGTGATTCTTGTCTTCAGAAAATCTTGCTCTCTTTATACCAAGAAGTACTATCTAGGTAGACTAGTAAAGTGACTTTTCTTGCTAGAAGAGATTCTGGTAATATGGTTAATATGATACCCAGATAAATATGTGAAACCTGAGGTATCATGCTGCTAAGCAGTATGGTCATAACTTTTCAGAAACTTTGCTGCATATGTATCATTACCAACATGTTTCACCACGTTATCTACATTCAGACTCCAAAGATGGAATTTAGTCAATACTTGTACTTCGCAGCTGCCACTATACTGGAACTACTAAGATGAAGTACTCCAATTATATCTTTAGATTAATGGTAAAAATTTCACAGAAATGTTAACAATTAGATTGATACAGGAATCCAAGACTATAATACGCAGAGCACTATATTAGGGGAAGTAACTATGCTGAGAACTTAATGAATGTATTTGCTTGCAGCATACATATTTCTAACTCCTGCTAGCTCTAACACAATATAGCAGTAATTACCAAAAAAAAAAAAAATCAAAATTCTAAATGTAATTTTTTTTTTCTCCTTGGGAATTATGGAAGTTATGGAAAAGATGAATAGCTTGCTGTTCTTCAGACAGTATTGAAATTAATTTCCTGGGATCAAGGAATTCCTTTGCTGAACATTTATTCTATTCACTAGGAAATGAGCATAGATGAAATATGGAACGTATCCACCTCAGTGGATATGAAATACAGGTTAGCATAACAAAATCTGCATATGCAGTAATTTTAAAGCCAAATGAAAGCAGTGTTCATATATATCTATCTACATGTTGCATTTTGGCTATTGAAGAATCTGCACTGGAAAGCAAGTGAGGTGACCTTCTGCTACAGTTGGATGCCAATATTTCAACATGAAGAAATAATACTTATGGAGTCGTAAGTATTCTCAAGAAAACAGTTCTCTATTAGTGGAATTGTTTTGATCCAAAAATATTATTGATTAAAAATGCATTACAAACTAAGTTTTATTTCAGTAAATCAAACACAAAAAGCATTAAGCTTTTCATTTATCAAATGCAAAAAGCTTTTAAGCTTTTCTTAAGCACAGTATCACTTTCAGAATTTTTATACTATGATCTACATAAAAAGCATAAAAATTCACATCAAACAAATTTCTGTAATCTTTATTTAAAGGGCTAATATTTTATCCCTTTCTGACTAATATTGCTGTTATTGCCTATATCAGTTTACACTGGCATTCAATAAGGCATTTGGTACTAAAACAAACACTAATGTTAAAACAAATACTAGAGTCTTGCTCCAAAGCCAATTACTTCATTGGAAATGTTGCCAATTATTTCAGCTGGTGTTGAATTAAGCCTATATTTATAACAAATACCAAAAAAGGTCATCTATGAAAGTTATAAAATGGCAGATTTTCCTACTTAACAAGTGAAACCTACTTACGTGTTTCTAAGAAATCTTAATTCCACTACCAAAAAAAAAGTCCTTTTTCAATTTGTTAAGCTGAAAGTAAATATTCCACTACTCATATATCACATCTGTAGACAATTTTAAAAAATGTATTTGAATTTTCTTCATATACTAAGAGTATGTGGTGGGATTCCCAGAGTCTTTCACTACTCATTGAAGCAGATACTGGTCTTTTGCTCATTAGAGCCATGTATATCTATATTTTAAATCTATTAAAAACAGAATCCACCATATATTTGCATGGGATTTCATATTAAAATTAATTCTGAACAGCATAGCAACTCCCCTCCTATTTGTAACTGTAACATTATTTCTGAAGCAACTACATGAGCCGTAGTTATGAGTAAACAGGAAAATCATTAATTCAGTCTTATGCATTTCTTATGCATTGAGTATTATGTGGGAAGTGGAAAAGAAATAAAGCACATGTCAAAAACTGGAAGAAAAAGGGTATTAAAATATTTTTTTTTTAAAAAGACCACTGAGGTTCTCTTTGGATCACTAAGGCTTGTCAACTAAATTGGTATACATAAGAGAATCCTAATATGTCCTTACTAAGACACAGGCCTTTTTGTGTAGTAGTTCCCCCTTTTTTGTTGTTGCATCACTATGAATCCTTCCATCCCAACAAGGTGGACTGCTTTATTTTGTGATGCCACTCAACCACTCTGCCCTACAGTTATTTAAATGAGCAAGACACAGTTGCAGATTTCCGTTCTAGAAGGCTACATAGAAAACACCTCTCTACTTCTCCTCCAGTCACTCTTACTCAAAGAACCAGTACAATGAGGTATTATTCATAGGAGAAGGCAACGAAAAAAGGTCACCTCTTTTAAACTAGACCTAATTCTCCATTTAACTGGCCTGCCAACTCTTTATTTAGGAAAAATCCAAAATTCTGATAATTTTTCCTGGGATATTCCACATCCCAACCGAAACCTGTTAATCCATATTTTAATATTTTATGGCTTTATTCAAGCATTAAATTATATCTGAAATATACAAGTTTCTTCTGTAATTGCTTTCAAACTACAGATCTCAAATGATACATTTCAGTTTGCTGAGTGCTCTATTTCCACAACAAAATCTTTATCTTATCTTTGCCTTACTTGGGGTTTGTTGGTGGCAAAGCAATACAAATCCTACAGAGCAGGATTCCAACACAAATCCAACAGAGCTGTTGGTATGTTGGTATGTTTTGTATGTAAAATGTGTATGAAAGAACCCTGGCTATATAAAACAAAATTTGAATGCTTTTGAGGGAAAAAAAAAAAAAAAAAAAGGAATCTGCTTTCCACCAAGACTCCTTCTCTATATAACTGTAATGATTCAGGCTTTATAATACCTTTTTTTGAGAACATTTGGTCTCTTCACTACTATGAAACACCTACCAGAAGATTAAAGAATTGGCAGAGCAATTGCTTCACTTTTGTTCCTGAAACAGCCCATTCTACTGGTGCTGTTAATAAGAGCATGGCAGTAGGAGCCTTTTTCAGAGTCCTCATGAATTATCATCACTGACAGCCATGAAAACTGGAATAACTGTCGACCTCCAGTGCATAGCTTTTGGAAATAATCTCTTAAAAAAAAGTAAGAAATGTATATAATTCAGTAAGCTATAGTATAAATTCATTGCAGGTTTACTAGATTATGCAATTTTAAGAAAACAATGAAAAATATATTGAAATTATACCAACAGAGATTTCTGCGGGACTTTTAGAGACCAGTAATGAAATCCTGAAGTATCTGACAAAAATATCGTATGTAATAAAACAGGAGAGTAAAGAAGAATGGATACCATTCCCACATGATAAAACACAAATACTTTTAAAATAATGGCATACTTTAACATCTTTAAAGCAGAATACAAAGGCTTTGGGTGGCTTGTTTTATAATATAAAGTATTTGGAAACACAGTTTAATAAAATCATTTAGTAAAAATATTTAGTTAGAACTCTGTACATGTTCTGTAAAATAAGCCTTTAATATCATGATTGTGTTATGTGTTTTACAACCAATGACATTTTAGGGCAAAACCTTAGAGTCACAGCATAAACATTAGCACTGATTCCACCAATTCTCTTTTAGAAGCTATAGGCTAATGTATAGAATATTTCTGGAGCTTAGAGAACCACCATTCATTACCTAAGCACTTGGAAGTAATGACTTATTTCATTTCTCAGATAGCTACAGCTCAGTTATGTTGGTGTTGTCCAAATCTATTCTATCTGATGTAGTTGAACATGGGTTACATCCTCAGAAAATTGCATAAATATTTTACAATAAGTATTTTTACCTTCTCTGGCTTGTAAGCCGGAAGCCTACTACAGATTCCTTATTGAGGCCAGCTGCTTCAATGTTGATAACATCATCGACTTCGGGCTCCATAGCAATAAGCAGCAGTGGAAACTTCCAGATTCCTCCCGTGGCGCATTGTACTACCAGAGTGGCTGCATTCCTTAAAATTTAAGTTAAAACATTCACTGCAGAGAACAGCATAATAAAATATAAACTCTGTAAGCTAATACCCAGAATGAGCTTCTGTGTGTACAAAAATGTCCATAAAAACAAAGTGCAGACAGCTTTAAATTGAAGTGTATCTTTAGTTTTATATGACATAGTATATATTAGTTGTACTTTCGATTGGAATGTAGGATAAATAGCACTGGCTATTTACAGTATAATATAAAAAAAGATGTAATATGAAAGGGAAATGATGGCCACAGCCAAGAGATTTGATTCTTCTATTTATCCGGATTTAACTCTTTTTAAAAATATTTTTGTACTATTCTTTATTTATTATGGTGTTAGAGAGCATTTGGTTAGGAGAATTCAGTCTAGACATATTAACAGAACATAGTCAGATCCAAATAGATCTGACTAAGGTCTATGTACTTTCAGAAAATGTCAGACTATGATGTCCTTGGACTGTCTGAAAAGAGCATTAGTGCTGTAGATACGGCTGATAAAGAAACTAATTTAATTGCAGCCTTTCAGTCCTCTACACCAGGCTTGATAGGTCTCAGGTACATAAAGATTAAAAGAAAAAAAAAAGGGGGTGGGGGTGGAAGGGGAGACAGGGTACAGAATAGAAATATAAAAGGGTTTGTAAACAAATCTATCCTCTGACCTGTGTAGAGATGGGTGGATAAACTTTCTTGGAGGCCTGCTTTTAGTCTATTGCAATAACTTTCTTGATTACTGCAAATAAAGTCCCCTCCTGAATCCTAAAAATATTGCTTTACATGCAACCCATGAGATCTGTCAGGGTCTGCTCTTCTCTTTCTGGTAGCATCCAAACTCTGAATTTCTCATTCTCTCCAGAAAAATGCCTCTCTCACAGTTTATTTTTAAAGATATGCAGAGTTTCTTTTTAAAGCTAAACAAAAAGACCATTTTTCTCATCACAGTTATAGAAGAGGGTACCATTTTTCTGTGAACCACTGTTCCTCCAAATTCATTTCAAAATAAACCATCCCAATCTGCCAAATAATACACACATTTATCTAGGAAAAGTTTCTCTGAGACTAACAGGCCATATTGTCTTTGAACAATTTTCATTTGAGGTTTTAACACTTTCTATACTCCAAATATACACTTTTAAGTAAATTGATGAACACACACAATAGAGCTGTAACTCAACAGAACTATTGAGCAGGCATTAAAAAGAAACACTCTCAGTGTTAATTATATATGTTAAACATTATCGTATGTTAATCATTGTCAGTGTAATATATCATAATGAGAAGCAGCAAGTAAGAAAATGTAAAAAAAAAAAAAAAAAAGGTGCAGGCAGGTGTAATGGTAATAATGGTCTTTATTGATAATAAAGAACAGGGCCTTACCTCATTGGTTTTCTAGGTGAAAACACTATATTAAAGATCAGTGTTACAGTTCCAGACTCTGAATCTTGTTTTTTTTGCATCAGATGTATGCCCACCAAAGGGTCAAGCTGAGACTTAATTTTATCTGACTGATACTGCAATTCATACTGAAATGCCGCTTTTGTAGAAAAACCTAAATGAAATAACAGTAGAAGATCAGTTTGTGTATATGCAAGTCATAAACATTTGGCTAACTAGTAGTTATATTTTTGGCTTTTCTTATTAAAAGTGACAAATGAGTAAAACTAGCAATTATCCAAAACTTTACTGATTTGCTTCTGGTTGCATAGCAGAATCTTCCAGTTTCCTGTAATACACTACACAGTCTGAGGCAAAATGGAAGCTGGAAGAACTACAAGTTAACCATAATATTATTAACAACATTTCTACCACTTCTACAGTGTGGTATTTCTAGTTCATCAGCCAAATGTACATTACAAGAATGAGATACTATTTCTGACAAATTCCATGAAGCCAAACTCAAAGAAAATTGTCATTAACCCCAGCAGTGCCACTGATGGCTGCCAGCCTGAGAAAAAGTCACTGTAATAAAAAAATAGCAAAGGTGTCACTAGCAGCCTCTTCTCTTATTCCCTTTGGTAGCTATGAAAAGGCCAGGTCATAATGACATAAAAATAAACAGCTGAACTTCTTTAATCAAATGGTTCTTTCAGCCATAATAAAGAATACTTTAATACTCAGTATATGATGAATTTGTGCACAGATGGGAACTAAATTACTACAAAGAATAAAATCTTAAACTCCTATCTATTTAAAAGTTTTACACACCATGGGTGAGAAGACTTTTAACGATATCACTAAATATTACAGGAGATTTCATCTGACTTCAATGACATGTCTCTGGACATATTTTGAGTTTACAGAGCTTAGTGTGATGCACTGTGCAGAATTCCTCTTTATGCATCCGCCTATATGCTAGCTATAGACTGTCAGTCGGGTTCAAGGTAACCTCCTAAGGGCCTTCAGATTTGGAATTCTGAAATATATTTCTTTCTATAAAAATCTGCATCCCCAAGAAACAAGCACTGTGAGATAGCTAAACAACAGCTTTCTTCAGTTTTGTCTATCTGTAAAGCCATTTAAGGAGTATGGAGACTCCTTCCTATCCTTGAAATCCTTTCTGGCTTAAATACTAAAGTTGCTTTTCACTGCTTAATTAACAAGAAGTTTTAACATTTTTTGGCAATATTTTTGTAACACATTGCTTAGATTAAACCTTAAAAATTGTCAGAGCTTACCACTTCTGACTCTTTAAAGTACATTGTTTACACAGATGTATGAAATATTTATCCTAGATGAACAAGTTACTCAGATGTAAGCACTATCATGGAAAGGATTATCTGTCATAACAGACACATATAGAGTACTGAAAACATAAGGTTTCCACATATTAACCCATCCTTTATAAATGTACTTTACTGACTTTACTGTCATACACACGTTTTGTTATAATGAAATTCAAGTCAAGCCGTTTTTCCAGAGTTTATAAAATTCCCGACATCATACTACATTGTTCCATGTTTTGTTGTTCATCTAAAGAAGAGATATTCTTGCTCTTTCTGAAAATTAACATGCTCGTGTTGTGCATTTAGCATTCAAGGCAGCCCAAGGCTTGGAGTAGTCACCCTATAAAAATGATGACATCATTTGGAGCATTCCTTAGTGGAAAAATTGCAACTGTTGAGCAGATGTTTCTTTTAGCAGTGAAATCACACCACACTGCTCATAAAAGGCTTATTTTAGAGTTCAGATGCTAGGAATAAAATGTTATGAATTAGTTGGGGCTTTTAGTATCTCAAGATACAAATATATTTCAATTCATATATTTATATAATGCTGTCAGTCATAATTAAATATTTTATATATACATATTTCTTCTATAGACTGCTTTATAGCCCGTTCTATGCTCACAGCAAGCATTTAGCTAAAATATTTTGATATTTACAACACCTAAGGAAAACCAATGCATTTTTAAAGCACCAAATGATATCTGAAAGCTTCATTATGCAGGACCCTTAGCTAGTTGTGAATCTACTGTACAGATCTACTTTAGGACTGTTCAAAACAGAAAAAATGTAATTAGATTTTCATCAGAGCCGCAAGCCCTAAAGACTACCATATTACCATATTATGGGAAGCCTTTGTAAATATGCTAATATTTGTTCGAGACAATTCTACAACACACATACTGCCTAAATAAATTGGCAGCTGCTGAGGACAGAAAAGAGTTAATATTGCTAGAAATGTGCCCAAATTGTCAAATGCTCATATTTCTATCAACTCTTAAAAGCCCATTTTCAATTAAAATGCCAAAATAAGTAAAATAAATGGAATTACTATTATTTTTAAAATAATGGCAAATACAATATTGCATATTGTTTGAATATAGAATCACAGAATCACAGAATCACAGAATCACAGAATGCTTGAGGTTGGAAGAGACCTCAGAGGTCATCGAGTCCAACCCCACCCCCGCACACACAGGGTCACCTAGAGCATATGGCACAGGGCTGCGTCCAAGGGGGTTTTAAAGATCTCCAGAGAAGGAGACTCCACAACCTCTCTGGGCAGCCTGTTCTAGGGCTTTGTCACCCTCACTGTCAAAAAGTGTTTCCTTAAGTTCCTGTGGAACTTTTGGTGCCTCAGCTTGTGGCCGTTTCCTCTAGTCCTATCGCTGTCCACCACTGAAAAGAGGCCGCCCCCCTCCTCCTCACTGCCTCCCTTGAGGTATTTATACACGCTGATCAGGTCCCCCCTCAGCCTTCTCTTCTCCAGGCTGAACAGGCCCAGCTCCCTCAGCCTTTGCTCATAGGGCAGATGTTCCAGGCCCCTGATCATCCTGGTAGCCCTGCGCTGGACTCTCTCCAGCAGCTCCACATCCCTCTTGTACTGGGGAGCCCAGAACTGGACACAGTACTCCAGATGTGGCCTCACCAGGGCTGTGTATAGGGGGATGATCACCTTCTTCGACCTGCTGGAGATGCTCTTCTTAATGCACCCCAGGATCCCGTTGGCCTTCTTGGCCACCAGGGCACACTGCTGCCTCATGGTCATCTTGTCATCCACCATGACGCCGAGGTCCCTCTCTGTGGGACTGCTCTCCAGCAGGTCCACTCCTAATCTGTACTGGTGTCCGGGGTTATTTCTCCCCAAGTGCAGGACCCTGCACTTGCCCTTGTTGAACTTCATGAGATTTTTCACTGCCCAGTTGTCCAGTCTGTCCAGGTCCCTCTGGATGACAGCACAGCCCTCAGGGCTGTCAGCTACTCCTCCCAGGTTGGTATCATCAGTAAACTTGCTGAGGGAGCACTCCAGCCCTTCATCCAGGTCGTTAATAAATAAGTTGAACAGGACCGGACCGAGGACCGACCCCTGGGGGAAACCGCTAACTACAGGCCTCCAACTGGACTCCGTGCCACTGACTACCACTCTCTGCACCCTGCCACTGAGCCTCCCTGTCCACTCATCTATCCCACTCCTTCGGGGCTTGCCCAGGAGGATGCTGTGAGGGACGGTGTCAAAAACCTTACTCAAGTCCAGATAGACCACATCTACCGCTCTGCCCTCATCTATCCAGCTTGTCACTCCATCATAGAAGGTGATCAGGTTAGTCAAGCATGATTTGCCCTTGGTGAATCCACGCTGGCTACTCCCGAGCATCTTCTTCTCCTCCACGTGTCTGGAGACAGCAGTCAGGATGAGCTGCTCCATCACTTTCCCGGGGATGGAGGTGAGGCTCACCGGCCTGTAGTTGCCCGGGTCCTCCTTCTTGCCCTTTTTGAAGACCGGAGTGACACTGGCTTTCTTCCAGTCCTCCGGCACCTCCCCCGTTCCCCAGGACCTTCCGAAGATGATGGCGAGCAGCTTGGCTAGGACATCCGCCAGTTCCCGCAATACTCTGCGGTGCATCCCATCAGAGCCCATGGATTTGTGGGTGTTGTTTCCTTAGATGCTCTCTGACCCACTCTTCCTCTACCCAGGACAAGTCTTCCTCTAACCAGCTCACTTCTTGTGTCCCTAGGGCCTGGGATTCTAGATGACTGCCCCTAGCAAACACCGAAGCAACGGTGGCATTCAGCATCTCTGCTTTCTCCGTGTTTTTCACAACCAGGGCATCCACCCTGTTCACCAGCAGACCTATGTTTTCCCCGACCTTCCTTTTGTTGTTAATATATTTGAAGAAGTTCTTGTTACTTTTAACATCCCCTGCCAGATTTAATTCCAAATGTGCCTTAGCTTTCCCTGTACCATCCCTGCATTCCCTGAGACAACGTTCCTGTATTTCTCCCAAGGGGCCTGTCCTTTCTTCCACATTCTGTATACCGCCTTCTTCTGCAGGAGTTTTGCCAGGAGCTCCCTGCTCATCCACGCAGGTCTCCTGCCCCCTCTGCCTGACTTCTTATGCATAGGGATGCACTGTCGCTGGGCATGGAGGAAATGCCTCTTGAAAACTAACCGGCTTTCCTGGGCCCCTCTTCCTTCTAGATCCCTAGCCCATGGGATCTTTCCCAGCAGGTCTCTGAAGAGGCTAAAGTTGGCCCTCCTGAAGTCCAGCGTGGCAAGGCTACTTACTGCCCTGCCTCCTCCTCGTTGGATCCTGAACTCCACCAGCTCGTGATCACTGCAGCCAAGGCTGCCGCCCACCTTCACATCTCCAATATGACCATGACTTGGTCATATAGGTCCATATAGGTCCGTATGACTTGAACCTTTCGCCTAACAACTTGTATACCAGTCAAGAACTAGTTTTGTTTTCAAAATAACCAGTTTAGTGTAGATACATTCGTTATTTTATCTAATGAAAACTGTAGAATAGACATATAGATACAAAGTCCATCCCAATTAATCTGCCTCTGCTCTGAAAACAGAGCAGGAGCATTAGTTCTAACCAGTTCACACTAGTCTTAAAATACAGATATTTATCAATCCAAATAATGGGATATAACATGATATTTACCACTGGAACAATGTTCAATTATAAAATAACTGCTTCTTTATATTTCTCAAAGAATATTATATATTATTTAAGATATGAAATAAGAATATGGCTTTGCAAGATTAATTTTGCAAAGCATTAGTCATTTCTTATTCTGAAAGGCTATGAATCTCAAT